CACACACACACACAAACAAACTCAGTTAGAGCCTCCAGAGGACGGTGAGATTTACTCACTTTCACGAGACTCTCCAGAACAGGATTCAATTCAGCCCGTGATTGATGCACATTCCATAGTAAAGTGAAAGCTGTACTGCACGAGAGTATTACTATTTAATGGATTAAAGGTAAATGAAAAACCTGAGAGCTTAATCCAACATAAGAAATATAAAAAAATAAAAATAAAAAATGTTAAAAACAGCCCAGAGAGAGACAAGAAGATGCTTATTTGGCTGCTCACAACAGCATTCCCCAGTGGTTTGGAAGACGTGAGTTTAAGTAATTTGTTTGGGTTTTTGTGTCAATTGTTAGGTAACATACTGGTGTGAATGGCTTCCAGACTTGTATACCCACTGTGCAGACCTCCTCGGTGCCTGATGGCACAGTTGCAGAAATCGCTTTTTTAACCAAATCTCATATAAAGTACGATTTGTATGATTTGTGTAATTACAGTATGCGTTTGAAGAATACTTGGGGTGTAAATTGCCCATAAATTTCATGAGAGGCTTTGCATTGAACACATGTAAGGTTTTCAGCACTGGTTTTCTCCAATCCTAAAGTGGTCGGTCTTGTATGACCCAGGACATGTCCTTATTGGTTCACCTCAAACACACAACAGCATATTTGATAGGTACAACGGCATATTTTTGAGATGGCTTTATGGCCACTGGGAACACCAAAACAGATTACAAAAAAGAAGAAGAAGAAGAAGAAAAAGAAAAACACAGACTTTCTCCAAGATTCTGTTTATAGCCCTTGAAACCATGTAGATACATACTTTTCAAACATGTCAGGGACAGGGAGCCATAAATGAGCGCGGAGGCAAACACCGCCTTTGAAGTATGACGTCGACCTCCGAAGTATTGACCACAAACGGGGCAAACTAACACAGGCGAGCTGTGTGTCAGCGAAAAGAAATGGCAACATATATAAGGGGTGAAATGGAAGAATGGATGAAGGAGACGAAGAGAGAGGGAGAGACTGCAGAAACAGAGCTCTAGGAGATGTCGATTTTAGAGCTCGGAACACACTCTCGTTCTGAGAAGCCCTGACTTAGAGCGTGGATTTGAGTCGGGATAGCTAAAAACCTCTCGGACGACTGTGTTCTCTTTTCTGATTGTTGTTTAAGTTCCTACGCAATGGAAGAACAACATAAATCTCAATTTCAAAGACAAACTTTAGAATAAATCCTAACTGCAGTGGGGCGAGTATCTGTTACCAAACACAGGGCTACACACATTGTCTTGGTGGAGTATAACATTGAAAAGGGACACGCAAAATGGGTATGCTTGTTAATTTTACAAACGCTTCACTTGAACTTGCCATAAATCAATCAATGTCAACATGTTAGGATACACGTTTTCATATAGAATAGAAGTCCGATGTTTATTAGACAGAAGAAAAAAAAAGAAGAAGAATTAAATTTGGTCTGCGAAACGTGTGCATCACTACACTAGATGCAAACTTATCTAACAGGTATTTAACTTCTAAAAAATAATCATATAAATTTTTTTTTAAAATCCCCTGTTAGAAAGAAAAAAGGACATTCATCAGGTGCCTTCTGCATTCGCAGCGAACACTACAGCCTGCTGCTTCTTTCAATCCTGCTTTGCTTTCTCAGCTGTAAAGTAGCTCGAACTTCTCTGACCCTCTTTGACCCTCCGCTGCATACACGGTAGTTCATGGCAACGACGACATCCAGTTTGTCCAAAAGTGAAAGGTGGGCTCATTAAGTTTAATGTGCAACTAGAGAAATTTGCTTCCTTCCATAATGAACATTAGAGATGAATAAGGTCAGTTTGCGATAAAAATCCAACACAAGCGTCGAGGTGATAATTTTTAGCTCTGTCAAAGAAACCTCTTTTCAGCCTCCTTTGTTAGCTCTTTCTCATGTCCTTCACATGCTAATTTGCACAATCACAGTCTACCATGGGCAAACCCGACCAACAGACAACACCAAACAGAGAATTCCAGGGCTAAGCTTTTAAATCCCCGCATCATCAAAGTGCACAAATGCGAATCTGTTTGCTTAGTGTATGCTCTGTGTGTGCCAGCAGCTTGGGGGACAGCTCACCCACAGCCACACAGATCTCCAATAAGATAGACTGTCAACATGAACTTAAAAGTAAGCTGATGCCTTTCAAAGCCCCGGCCTGTATAGCTTCCTCAGGTTTACAGGATGAGAGTCGATGCAAAAGTTGTGTCTTTTCATGCAAACTGTGTGCTGTTTAATCGACTAATGGCAGCGTCACTGGATTGTGGTTTAGCAGTGATGCTGCAGAGAGATGAGAGGAAAGGTGGGTTTTAATTTTAAAGCAGCAGGTGGAAAGTCTGATCATGTTACCACAAACCGTACAGAAACCTAAAACATTTAGTCCACCGTTAATTGCTCTTTCTATTCTGATTTTTAAACTGGTAAAGCTGATTTTTCATTAATAATTTAACCTTAGCGCTGATAAAACATGATCATTTCCGTGTTACATTGATCCCAAAAACTTCAAGACTAAAACAGTCACCAGGAAATGTAAATGAAACACTACTTTAGGTCAGTGTGACGTCATTACTGTGGAAGAGCTTAAATCTTAACTGTGGTGAGGAGCTTAAAGATTCCATCACAGTGCAGTGTGGTGGCCTTAAGAGGAACTATCATCTGCGTCATGGCATGCAGTTTGCTTACAGCCACCTGCTTCATCACATTGAACACTTTGAACCTAACTGACAGGCTGTTACGTTCCCAGGCGTGTTTTCTACAAGAGGAAGGCCCTCGCAAAAATGCCCGAGGCACAACTTACTCAAGTCAAGTGAATAAATACTCTCCTTATTCCCCCCACCACACACACACAGACATATTAACAGCAAATCTAGCAGCATTTATAAATTTTAGCATTTTAGAGTGGTTTTACTTAAAACAAAATCCCTTACACGCCCACAGTTTTCAGACTGTTTCCACAGGCGAGGTGTGCAGTGACTCCAAAGGACTATATGGATATATACTTTGGCTCGGGGTGTATTTACTGCCCACAAAAAACTTGTTTTTACAGTTTTACATGACAAAACATTTCCTGTATAGTTTTGATGAAGGGGTATTGTATTATTTTGAATCTATGTTTAAATGTTCTCCACGTGGCTTATCCTGCGGTTAATACGCCGCTGAAAACATAGTTAAATAATCCAAACAAATAATGATATGTAACTTTGATGTGCAAGCCATATACTTAGCAGCGTAGCCTACTTTTGTCTGAACACCCCCCCAAGGGAAAAAAAAAAACACATCTATTCCAGCATCAGGTTTGGGGTCTCCGGGCAGCAAAGGATGGAGCAAAGGACCATGTAATTATTTTGGAAACTTTAAGAAAGCCGCCGTTCTGCGAAATACTTTTAATCCAGAGCTCAGCGCATTGCGGTGCCAATCACGTACGTGTTGCATAGGGGATAGTTTAAGATGTGGGCTCAAACGGTAACATCAAAATATTTGAAATCGGGGAGAGGTGAGGTAATGCGTGGTAGTCTTTCGCTCGCTCTGGCAGGTTAAAGGTGCTTCCATGCGTAAAAATGACCCACGTTGCGCGAAGTTTTTCTCACAAGGGGAAGAAAACAGAATCTCCGCATCTAATTGTCTTGAACATCTCTGCCACTCAGTGGCCAAAATGGACCAATGTTGCAGTTCCTACAGTATTATTTTTCCTCGATTTTGTAAAATGTTTTAAATCCAACAGCCTGACCCAAACGAGCCCTACTTACTCCGCAGACATGCTCGCTGAGGGGATGGCACATTAGAGCGTTGAGCTTTACGCCAAATTACTGCTTTCCCACGTGGACCCGGGTGTTTCTACTGATGAGTATTTTCTTTTTTCTTTTTTCTTTTTTCTTTTTTGAGTTTGGATAACATTAGTTCAGTTGAACAATCAAATATGCCGCCTGAGCTGCACTTCTGTTAGACCCGGTCCGTGTTTGATACAGTTTGATATCACGGTGTAAATAACTCTGACCTGAGGATGAGGGATGAGCGAAATAATCCACTTTTATCGGCTTTTGAATATTGGGGCGAAGAAAACATATCCCCTATTGAGAAGACTGAGGGTTGTGAGAGGAGGAAAGCCTAACCCGTGCATCTTTGTGTTGCTGAGGATGAGAGCGCGCACCCTGTGGAGTGAAGGACTCGTTAATTGGCTCGAACTTACAGGTAGCTGCCACTCGTCAGGATCAGGAAAATCTGCGGGTAGTAGACTGACAGCAGTACACTGCGCGACGAGAAGAGGATCATGATGACATTGAGCAAAACGGCCACGCTCGGTTTGAGTGAGACGAGACGGACTACGATGAGAGGAGGAGGGATAAAAAAAAAACCCTTCTTTAATCCCGGGCTTTAAATCCCCTTTTCCGCACAAAAAAAAAAAAAACTCGCTCTGCGTCGCCTTGTGTTTGCGCAGCGACTCTACGCAGCTCCAAGCTCCCAGGGCCGTGTGTGCGCCGAGATTGGCTCTGTCATCTCTCAGCAGCGGAGGCTGTTACACAGTACTGTGGGTTCCCGAGCCGGAATGATGATGGTTTTAGGGATTTTGCATGGCAGAAAAGTGCCTCTCTCCGCTCTCATGAGAGTCGTGCCTGCCATTGGGCAGGGAGAGACACTGCTATCCGCCCACTTTGCCACAGTGGGACAATAGGGTGACACTCATCTGATTCCCGTTGGACAGCGCTGAAGGTTTCATTCATCATTATCACCCCCTCCCCACCTACCGACACAGCCACACACCCCCGCAACCTCCACCCCCAACCCCACCATCCAGCCAAAAATAAACAAACACAGAGGCTGGCTGCTTCAGCCTCACACCATCAGCGAGGCTCCATGTGTAAGAAATCAGCGCACGTCTTGGCAGGATGTGTCATTTTGAATCAACAAGTTGGCATCACGTTAACGAAGTGACTCTATCTATCTATCTATCTATCTATCTATCTATCTATCTATCTATCTATCTATCTATCTATCTATCTATCTATCTATCTATCTATCTGTCTGTCTGTCTGTCTGTCTGTGAATGGCAGATATGATTCTAGCTATTTTTCCATGCTGCTGTAAAGAAATGTCTTCGTCTGCTGTGACATTTCCATGGAAACATAAAGCATAATTCCCAGAAGCCAAACAGGGGTTCAGTGACCTTATTCTATCCCGCGGCAACACTATAACATTTCTATAGGCGTCTATAATATTTCTGCTCTGCCTACCTGTCTGCTGCGCTCTGTTGGCTGTCATCCTATTTTGAGACCCTGCTCTGAGGCAGGGTTTTCTATGCTCAAGGTGCAGGATTGATGGAAGTAAAGGCTTAAAAACTGCACTATTGTTGCCATAAACTGAATTTTTCTTTTCTTTTTTTCTTTTTTCTTTTTTTTCTGACATGGTTTGGTGAGTGGAGGCTTTTTTATCTTCTCGACATCGTGACTTTCACTCAACACCTGCAGGCTCCAGTCATTGTACACAAAGAGGGTACCATGAAAGACTTAGCCGGAGTAAAAGGATGGAAGGAATGAGCTAACTGCTCAGGATTAGTAAACAATAAGACAAGAGACCCCATAAAGGAGCTACTGTCATGTGACATGAACCCCGTGTGAAATCTGAAGTCAGTTCACGAGGTTCTGTCTATTTGATTCGTTTCGACCGCGCGAATCTCCGAGATTTGCGCAGTCGGAGCATTAACATCAAGCCGCAGGGGCCCAATCGTTCCATTTTACAGCTGAAAATGTGAGACAGGATAAGATCAGATCTACTTAACTGCCATTATAAGCACAAGCATACAACAAAGTTAGAAGCACTCCTGAACTTGATGTATATGACAAACATAAACAGTCTTACTATTAGAATAAAAGAGTCATAAATACATGTTCTATACTATTATGTGGTGTGGTCGTGTGTGACTGGTACCAGCTTTCATTTTTAATTATTAACTTTCATTTATTTCTTGGGCAATTGCTTAGAATTAACCCACTAAGCAAATGCAGAGTGGCTTAAAAACAACAGAACCTGTTATAAAGTCTACTTTTTATAACGTAGGCCCTGCTTTTGCTCTGATTCGGTTGGATCTGTCTCCTCTGCAGCGCAACGTTCCCGGTAGGCAGGGCTGCACAGGACCCCTGGGCCTTATTATGGCTATAGCAGCTAATTTATATTGGTTTCAGTGTATTGGATTCAGATGGGTTAGAACATGTACTCTTCGACTCACTGAGCATTTCACTAATAATTAATGTTTTATTAACAGTATGATGTTAAAAATGCGCAAAAAACCCCCGAACTTCTGCTTATCTTCCTGGAGATCCTAACACGATCATGCCCGAGAGGCAGCAGAGAAGGAAGGCATGGACGTCCTTCTGTGTTTATGTATCAAGGTGAGGTATTGCAAAACAGGTAAAAACTCCGTCTGGGCAATGGAATGTGGAACTACAACTCAGTCTGCCGCTATTAATGAAGGTATGCAGGGCCGAGCTGAATCCGAGGCAGAGACAGCGGCTCAAATGATACTCTGCAACAAAGCAGGAGTACCGGGAGGTGAATTAAATAAGCTTCTGTGGTAAACGCCGATCGATCGTACTGTCCGTTGGTACAAGAACAGACCTGCAATTTTATTTACGCATAACACCCCTCTCCAAGCTATAGCTGTGCACTTTGATGATGCAATGATTCTTACATGTTTAAACACACCTGGTTTTACTTTTTCATCCTCATGCTTCACTCTAAGGTCAGAGGGCAGTCGAATCTTTCCTCTACAATGCTTTTCCCCTCTGAAGCGTGCCTGACTGTCGCAACGAATTTCACACCGAGGCTCGCGGGCTACAGTGTCTCGATAAGTAACAACGACAAAAAACTCACCCAAGTCTGAGGTATATGATGCCAAAACACAGGAACACGTAGAGACTCCGTCTTCGGAGGGTTTCGTGCATGATCGTTGCCACTTTGTCCGGAGGCCATGCACTATAACATAAAGTGGCCACGCTTTCCGTTCACATTGGCAGGTTTCTTAGCCCTTCCAGATGCACGTGTACCGTCTGTTTCCCGCGACATCTAGCATAAGCTCCTTGGAAATAATCGACCGTGCGAAATCCATGGTCCGCGAGTACAGGTGAGATGCTGATGACGACCTGAAAGGTGGCTAAGAACTCCAAAATGAAACTCGAGAGAGGTTCGGACTTGAAAGGTGAATGAGTTCTTGGAGGAAGTGCCTCCTATTCGTCCTTACTTTGACGGTAAAACCTAATTAACAATTCCTACTTGCTGTGCCTTGCAGGTAGAAAGAGAGCGAGGGAGGGGGGAATAGTTGCGCATACTGCAGTGTCCCAAAAGAAAAGGAAAAAAACGCGGATTTCGTGGTGTTTAAAGCTTTGGAACATCGCTGCTTCTATATTTTGAAGACATCTTAAACACAGACCACGTTACTAACTTGCAACCGCCAGGTAGTCTAATACAGGTAACAAAAGGGCTCCTTGCCTCCTCCTCCTCCTGCAGCATGGATATGCAGAGGATGGGACGGGCTTCAGTGCTGAGCTCAACACGTGCAGTTGTTGTATGGAAAACTAAAAGGAACGAAGTGAAATGGCCTTTTATAGGCCTGTAGCCCCGGCTAGGCGCTTGCAACATTAGGCATTGCCCCACAAGTGATGGGCTACACCACAACAGTAAGCCCCATAAAATGAAGCAGAGGAGGAATGGCTTTCCAGCTGTTTGAGTGAAAAAAAATACCACTGCATGACTAATAATTAATAATAATGAACTGGTTCAGTAGGATTCTGTCAGTGATTTTGATTAACAGTGAAGTGCATGAACAAAAAAACATAAACAAAACATCAATATTCGCATTTCTTGCCTATGAGCCAGGGTGATGTGAATTTTGAGCAGATATTCAGACTATGGAGTTGAATCCTTTGGGACTCCCTCTGGTGGCAAAAGGACACACACACATACACACACACACACACACACACACACACACACAGATAGATAGATAGATAGATAGATAGATAGATAGATAGATAGATAGATAGATATGCCACTTTACATGTCCTGCTTGTTTTTGGTTACTGGAGAAAATGTAATAAAACTGATAATCTGACGAGGCCACTCCAGTCTTAGAATTTACCTTAGTTCACTTTCAGGCACAACTGATCATATTTAATCAGAGTGATTTATTTACTTACTTACTTTAGCTAGTCACAGTCCAAGGAACCCTTTTTCTCTTTACTCTTTAAATTTTATTGTCCCTGGTATGTTTCTCTAAAGAAAGCATAAACCATCAGTTCAGTATATTTCCAAAGAAAGTACATGAAAAATAGCTAACGTGTTGTAATAATGATGGCATAAACTAAAATTACAGACATGAGCTATCTGAGCACAGAGACTGTCGGGCTGTTGTTCGCCACGAGAAACAGACAAAACCGCAGAGACCTTTGTTTCAAGACATCTCTGCATTGTGGTTTCAAGGCCTTTTCCTTCAAAACATGCCCATCAAAATTCCAGATGGATTTTAGAAATAATGAAAGTCAACATGCAGGCCCAGGGTGACATAAAAAAGACATGTTTTTGATGTCTGCCCTGTAAAAGATGGTCTTGTTTGTCTTCAAAATGTACATAACTCATAGGCCTGGGTGGAGATGGTCCTGTTTAGTTTAATTAAAATGTTCAAAGGACTGACTCGTTTTGTTTTTTTGTTTTTTTTATTGAAGCAAGGCTCAAGACCCAGGACAGTGTGCGTCAGCATTGTTTGTCACTCGCCATTGTCATCACAGACGTGTCACACGCATCCAAACCGGCGAACACATTCCCGTGCGCACTAACACACACTCCTCGTCCCTCTGCATCCATGCAGTAAATCTGCGTACGGAGCCACAAATTAAACCGTTAGACACAAGCACTGCGGACACACACAGAGAATCTCTCACACACTGAAGCACTTGGGTGGCATGTGGAAGATCTTGTAACACACTGTTTATTTAACTTCAAAAAGAGGAGGCAGGGATGACAGCATTTAGGTCAACGAGGACATATCAATCTGCGTAAGTCATACGCCACATCACTGCCTCCGCTTTGTGCTGGATTTCAGGGCCATTGTATTCGAAATATTTCCATTTGCAGCCTCTTGAAAGGCAGTCACTGTCTTTGCTCTGTGCTTGCCATTTTTCTCAGTCTGCTCTATTACTTTAATAAGTGCCAGCCAAACTTTGTCTAGATTGGAGCATTGTGTATCTGTTCCTTTTCATCTCCGTACTCTCTTCCCAAACTGCAGAGGGGAAAATTGTTGGGAAGGGAGGGAGGGGAAAAAGAAAAGAAAAAAAAAAGCAGATCATATTTTGGCAAGCGTGGTATGATATGTCGCACTGTCTTTTTGAATATTATTAAGTACTCTTGACCGACAACTAAATAAGAAAACCCACCGGTTGCCCATGTGTTTGCATGGGAGCTGGTTCAGCTGGAAACAGTGAGAAGGCTGAAACGCACAGCGTGCCAAACCACGGAGTGGCGTCTGGGGCTGGGTCCACCACATCTACGCTGGGCCCCAGGCAAGAGGGGGGAAATGGCTATATTGTACTCGCAAAGTCCCCCCTTTCAATCTCCATCAGACGTCTCCCTCTGACTCTCTGTTCCTCTTAATTTTAACACTTCCTTCAATTAGCCAAGCTCAGCCTCACTTTGTGAATACAGTGATGGAGATTTGTAGAAGCATGCTGGGAGTAACTGAAGTGCATATAAAATGTCAACTCATACATGGAACTGTGAGGTCAAAGGTTAGACCAACCCCGTCATTCCACCTATCCTTTTGAATGGATTTGACCTATTTGTCTCTCCTGTTCAGGCACAGCTGCAGGTAGGGAAACAGGGTGTGTTTGATTAATTCCTCACCATGCTTACTGATATATCAGTTCCTTACAAGCTCATTTGTGTGCATATGTGTGCAGTCATAGATCTGCTAGGCTGGGTCTGCATGAATCCCAGGCCCACTTCTTCCTGGAAGCTGAAATGCTGCACCATGCCCTCTTGATAGAAGGCAGGGTTTGTTTTTTTTTAACAGCTGGTTCCTCTCCACAGTGCCCAACACCACACTTGCTGAGATTGTATGAAGTTTGAACTGAAGCTTAAAGCGGGGAGAGTGTTTTTTTCTCATGTTAAAACCTTCAAACATTAATTTGCAATGTTGCTATTTTAAATAGGTTTCACTTCTTTGCAAGGCCACTAGCCAAACTGTCACGGGTGTTTTCCTGATCAGGCCAGGGTTCTTAAACAGTGCAGGGAGGCAGGATCAGTTTTCCCAAATCTGACAGTCTGGGACACCATGCCAAAGCTGTAGTCTATATTCAAGAACACACTCAGTAAAATGAATGAAATGACATAGAGGAAAGAAAAGAGTCCGGTTTCAACTTGGAGAGGTCTTAGAAAGACTGAAATTAAGATTTGTTGCTACTGTTCCATGTGTCTACGCGAGCGACTAGCTGAGGATGTATATTTGCACAAAAGTAATACTATATACACTTGATAATTACTGCATGCAGGAGTTCGGCAGGAATACATTTTATTGGAACAAACCTTAGCATGCTCATCAAACGACATGTGTCACATAAAAGACAGCATAATTCACGGTTTGTTTTTCAGATTTTACATTGTCTGCTCAAATACTTACTGATATTCCAGCTGATACTGCTAATGACCAAAAAACACAGTGAAGTCACATCAGTAAAATACATCTATCCCCTCCCTCAGTATTAAAGTTGGGGTCTTTTTGTTGTTGTTGTTTTAATCACGTGTTTTGATGACTCTCCAGAATCCTTCCCAAGTAAAAAATTCAAAATTATATGTCATCCGGGGATCATATTGTAATGAATGTCTATGCCCACAGACCTAGTATGTCAAACACAGTTTGACTCATACACGCACAATAATACACAAAGCCAGACACTCGAAGAAACCTTCGGAAGGAAATGAAATGCTACCTTTTCACTCTTCAATAGTATTTGATTGGTCTGACTGCCCTGGGCAAACATTTTGCCTTCAGTTGTTTTCATTAAATCAGATGGGTAGGAAGCCCTTGTGTGCCACAGTCTAAGCATGGGCCTGTCACTTGGAATGAACACGGGATATATATCCATATATCTTGTTTATTTGTTGTTATTTTGATTTTTTTTACTTCACTGGATCAATATTATTGGGACTAAAATCCCTCTTACAAGATACATTTAGCAACACTGAAAAAGCTATAATACAAATACAATTCAGTTCAAGTTTGTTTATATTGTGCCAAATCAATCAATCACAATAGTTGCCTCAAGGCGCTTTATATTACAAGGTACAGACCCAACAATTATACCGAGAAAACAATCAAATGACCCCCTTTGAGAAAGCACTTGGCGACAGACGGAAGGAAAAACTGCATTTTAACGGGAAGTGAGAGCAAAATTTCACACGTTCAAGGCAAACACAGGGACAATTTATTTCATGGCTTAAAAACACATAAATCTGACCAAAAACAAAGTATATCAATCACATTTTAGCTTCCTTGGTCAGAGAATGGAACCCTAGCATTTACATTCACAATAAAATCTGACAGACATGTGGCTTGTGTCTGTAGCAAAGAACCCCCAGACACTGTGTGCAGTGGAGCGAATACAAGCAGTGCTCTTTGTTGCCCTCTAACAAGCCTGTGGATATGAGAAAAGCTCTGAAAAGACAGAGTCCACATCAATTTGGCACTTGAGACACAATTTCATCTGTAATATTAACATGACTTGTTCCCTGTGCCCAGAAGCAACAATTCAACTGCATAATTTCTGTTATATATTTTTTAAACCCAACACTATCAGAAAAAAACAACTCATCAATAAAGCATAAATCAAATATAACAAGTAAGCTTGAGGTTTGCTTGAGGACTTCAGTATTTGTAATTCTGCAACATTCTCTGTAGTACTTTAAAATAAGCAGCTTACATAATTGATTCCAGTGCATGCTGGTCCACTGGCTGAGAGCTATTAGTGACTGTGCTTTGCCTCAATAGGCAGGAATATGAATGAGATAACATTGCAAAACTTCATTAGGTATTAACTTTCCTCCACTTTTCAGGTAAACTTTGCGGACACATCAAATGCACACTTTGGTGTTGGAGTTTACATACCTGTGAAGTCTAAATGGGCTGCATTGACTTAAGGTGTGGTGTTATATTTGTATCTGGCTGTAGTTATGGACAGGTACAAGTGCCTGGACATGTGCACACATATGCACACACACACACACACACACAAATGCAAACATCGATCTGAACAGCTGGGAGTGTTTGCAGTGCGAGCGGGTCTTTCGTTCTCCTCTCTGTCTCACACAATGACCCATGCACTGTCTGTGTTTGCACTTCTCCCAACTCAAACAGCGTGCGTTTCCGTCCCACGGCCGTTCAAGCACACTCTGAGGCTTGCTTTTGTGAAAGCTCACACGAACTGGGAAGGCTTGGCCTCGGGTCACACTGAGAAAACAAGGGCCAAGTTCATTGAGAAATCAAGCAGAATCTTAGAAATGTACCTGATAC